TTTACAACACAATACAGTTCAATAATATATATGAGAAACAAAACAACATCATAAAATATATAAGAGAGAAACGTGGCAAGATTCAAAATATTCGTTTTTTTCTTTTAAATTTATAGTGAATATTAATAATATTAATAAACAAAACAGATTAAAATAAAAAATCATTATCACTGAAATCACTGAAATGGCGTACTCTTATTTAAGGAGTAATTAATTCTGCAAATAGCCATTTATATAGACGATTTTTACACATTAACTAGACCTTCATGAATATTTTTTTTGTATAATGTCAGCATCTGATTAAAATTAGTAGAACCTATAAATAGTTAACAAAAGATTGATCAAAGACCAATAATATATTATAAAAAAYAATATTATATATAACTAAATTATAATGATAAATCCTATATATTGTATTACTTATATTATTTTATATTTTTATAAGACCTTCCGATTTTTAAGGTTTCATCCTTAGTTTATTGTTTAAATAACTCAAAAACTAGGTAGGTAATTGTCTGAAGTTTGAACTATAGATACATCACAGTTATTGACAAAAATCAAATATGCTAAAAATGTATTGTAAAAAAAAAGGTTGATTCTCATTTGAAAAAAAGAAGGTTGTATCGCCACAGGAAAATTCTTCATATAAAATCATAAAAAATTGAAAATACAGTCCTTAAGTATATAGTATACTTAAAARTTCCAAAACTTAGAATTTAAATAARTTAATTATTAAAGAAATAAATAGAGGTGAGCTAAGTGAAACACTCCAAATATTTTTATTTATTTAAAAAATTTACTTATTTTTAATAAAGTTTTAAAATTCAATGTTAGTAAGTTATAAACAAGTACCCAAGATTTAAGTATCTAAAAAAAGCTTATAATATGTTTTCACACTAGGTATTTATTGCTATTAGAGATCGCATAATATTATTGCATTTTTTAATTTTTGCTCCTATTGCTCTAGTAATCTAATATGATGCTAGATTACCTATGTATATATTACCTATTTAGTTTCTTAACGTTTTGGTCGATTTACAACATTTTATTTTGGTTTAGGTTTACTAGTATTTTTAATGCTTCTGTCTATTTTGAAATTATTTTGCAACTGTTTTTCATTTTTAATATTAATTATTATATCTTAATGTCTATATGGGATGAATTGAAATAATTTAACTACCTAATTGCAATTTTAATTTGTCAATATTATATGGTTAAGAATAATTATAAATATTGAAGACTTGTAGTAGGTGGTACAAACAAGTACWATTAGACGTATATAGTAGTATTAAATCAACAATAATTTTTTTGTGTATATGTGTAATATACCAAAAAAGTGTAATTGATCTTACAACTTATTTCTTTGTTAGCTTTAGTATAACAATCAAACTATTTAAAAGTTATATAAAAAAAAAAATTAAAAATCAGACAAATTCTAAATAAAAAACCTATTACTAGTTATCCATTTATATTATAATAGTAAATAATATTTTTTATATTATCAATGAGATCGAAGTCGTGGTGTATAGGCAATTCTGGTATTCTGGTGTGTAGGTAGCTTCCAAACGGTATCCCGTCGATAAACGAATTTAATAATTTAGGAAATCCATGGGATTATATATTAAGTTGTGATGTCAGCAACTTTCCAATACAATCCATTTGAATACGCTTGACTTTGCACTATTTTAGATTTCATAATAAAACAAATAGACAATAACGATGTTGTAATTCAGTTTATTTACCTTATAAGAAATGCCATTTCGACGTTGAATGAATTGTAATAAAAAATGTAAATTATTTAATCATATGATAATTGAATTCCTATTTTATTATTAGTTTTTTTATTGTCTCCGATCAATTCATTTATTTTAGTTTTATTTATATTGACAAAAAAAATAAAATAAAATAACAAAACAAAAAGTATTTTTTTCATTATATATGATAATATTTTTTTATGCGTGTATAAATATTTTGGGTAGTGAACGAT